GCACATACATATTTGTGACATGATGTACGTTGTGTGTGTGAAGTTTGAACTTGATCAATCCAGACATGTCTCGGATACGGATCCAGAACTGAATTCTTTAACAAAATGGCCGCCAGTCGGCCATTTCGAACTTGATCCGAAAAAAAAAAATGACATGCATCAAGGTCCGATTATGTTTAATGTATGTACCAAATTTGAACGAAATCCGTCCATGCATAACTGAGATCTGGGTCCGGAATGGTGAAAATGTGCAATTTTGATGCATTTTGATGTATGAGTGAAGTTTGAACATAATCGGTCCATGCATGTTCGAGATACAGGTGATCACGGACGAACGGACGGACGCACACAGGGCAAAACATAAGTCCCCGTTTTCGGACTCCGTCCGAACAGGGACTAAAAATGACATGCATAAAGATCTTGTGATGTCCAATGCATATAGTCAGTTTGAACAATATCCATCCATACAGGCTCCCTGCAAAATCTAGAAATTCCAGCTATATATGTAGCAGGCAATGCCTCGTGAGCAAGTGCAGCCGAGTAGTTTATTGATTTACTCAAAATAGAAATGACGCAACCATAAAACGCCGAAGCGAAGAAGCTCAGTCATGTGTGAGTTCAGTTTGAATGTGAATTCAAGATGACACCATGCACAATTTGATCAAAATAACCTGAAACACTGTTGAAAAGTGAACTATTTTAATTCCTAGACCAGAAATCGATTGCCTTATCATTGGATCGCCATAAACCTTTCAATTTAATGATATAATAGACCAGCTGCATGCAATGCATACTTACCAAATATTACCATATAGTTCCCCATAATATTAGCAGTATGTAAAGCTCTGTGTTTAGGTTTCGCTCCATCATTTTTATCATAATCCCAAAGTGTCCAATATCGATAATCAATTTGAAAGGCATAGATGGATTGAGATCGATGACTTTGTCTGCAAAACAACAAATATTATTACAATAATCAGTTCTAATTATCAAAGTCATCATCTCAGAATATCATAACACTGCAGGGAAACCATACACCATACCCTTGATATGTGTTAATCTAATGTTCAAAATTATGATTTGTTTGCATGCAATACCTGAAAGAAGCGTTAGTGGCCCTGGAACATGTGTTAAGGTAGAGATGCAGGTTTGTGGGCACTTGGGAGTGAATTTTTTTTGTTTTGCTTTTTATTATCCAAACAGTCTTGGCTATAGACTGTTAAAATTTTGTAGAATTGTAAATAGTGGAACATACTCAAAAAACGATTTTAAAATGTAGATAACAGGTGCAAACATTCTCTCTTTTGAATGCTTAGCAAGATTTAGCAAGGCTGTACATAAATAATAAAAAAGAAACATGGTAAAAAAAAAGAAATGAGGGATCTCCATCTTATGCACTATATTTAACTTTTCACAAAACGATAATACATTCAAATTTGAAACTGTTACAGCCATTTTAATTATGAGCATTAGCAAACTTCGTACTGAGTGAATTGTTATGCAAATTAGCAATTATCTCAGCTTCTTTTTAGTGCACATCCCAGAACTTTAAAAAAAAATAGCTCCTAGACGCTTTGACCTTTTGTTTTGAAATTTGCACAAAAGATTGACAATGTGTTTATCTTCAAAACATTGTCGGGGCATTGTTTTTGGTTGAACAGTGTTACAACAATCGTACAGACAACTAGCCTGGGTGTTAATTTATGCATAAACTTGAAGTAGTGAAATTTGAGCTGCTGCCCTGCATAATTGACAACTGGTAGACAGTTTTCAAGACGGCAACAAAATTTCAAAATTCATACAATAAGCTTTTCGAAATTATATATTTTTGTGGACAAGGGAGGTCATCTTGGTTTCCTGATTAACTAATTAAAAAACCTGTCAGGTAAACTGCATCTC